TCACTCATTTGAAGTTTGGTCCCCAACCAGCAGCAGCACCCATATCACCCAAGCACCTGTTAGAATGCAGACTCGCAGGTCTCACCTAGACTCATGGAGCCAGAATCTGCATTTTAACAAGATGCCCAGGTGGTTCCTGACCACATTAAAGTTTGAGGAGCACTGGCTAAAGCTTATTTATAATTGAGATTTTTTTTATTAACATTCAAGGGTAAGGTAAAATTCTCCCCGTGATCATCTCATGACTTCTGACATAACCACAAATGTTATCAAATCCGTATTTCTGCCTCCCTTCTCCTAAAGCACCAGGAGAGCTGCTCTGCTTCCTTAGACACAAACCACAGGTGGCTGTTGGTTAATAGCATTGAAGGAAAATGACCGAAGTTCCTGATCCCAAGCCAAGAACTCCACCTTCCAGGCTGAATTCAGGCAGCGAGTAGGTCTGACGCCTGGTTTTCCCTGGACACTGGAGAAAGGGCATCCGGCAGGAGAGTTTATAGTTCAAAGGTCAGGGAAGAGAGTTGGAAGAAGCCCTCTCTCTGCTCTGATGAGAGCACCCCTGTCTTGGCATCCTCACCTTTACCACTAGGGGGGCCCTTGCTGGGGTTCCTGGGGCACTTGGACCTCCTGCAGTCCAGGGCTGTCCTCTGCCACCTCCAGCCATGACTCTCAGCCTGGAAGGGACCAGAGAGGACATCTTGCTCCTACTGCTCTGGATTGTCAGAGTTCCCCCAACGGCCCTAACCACTGGACACCTGCACTTGTCACCAATGACGGGGAGATCACGACCCCCAAGCAGCCACTTCTGCTTGTGAATGGCTTTGACTATTCAAAGGTCTTTACAGTGTCACCTCCACCTGACTCCTGAGGGAACTATCTTCTGAGAGTTCCAGCTAGTTATTCAGCTGCCAAATTCTCTACCTGGGAGAGTAGTCCTTAAGTCCATGCTTCTCAAACTTTAATGTGTCTTCAAAACACCTGGGATCTGTTGTTAAGCTTATGGGAGGGCCACTGAGCTTTTGCCTTTCTCAGGTGATGACAATGCTCCTGACAAGAGTTTGAGTGGCAAGACCTCAGGTTTCATTAAATCTACCTTCAGGACCACAGAGTACAAACCCATGTGACCTGCTGTCATAAAGTGGAACAGAAAATCATGTCTTCCCCGAATCATCCATTTTTCAACTGCAAACATCATAGTTTATTTAATAGTTCCTTACGTGTCATGGCTTTGCATTTTCTTATCATGTCATGATCTATCTTCTGGAAGCACTCTAATGAGTGTTGGCAAACCCTCTAACTGTGTGGCACCCAGCCTAGAACACTCCAGCTTTGACTGAACGACCTTGGGACAGAGCAAGACCTGGTTCAAATGAGCTCACGGCTATAATCTTGTCTAGGAACGACCAAACAGGGTCCTATGGGTGGATATGGGGCCTAACATCAACAAAGACCTCCATTTCTTCCCTCTTATAAATATACTTGCCTTTTCTTGACACAATGGTGAGAAAGTGAGTGATAAACTAATTCCTCATCTAAAGTAATAATAATTTGATGGATTACCCTCTAAGGGAGCTTTGTCAAGTCAATGTCTTAATCTAAAGGCAAACTTCCTAATGTTATTTTAGGCCCCACGGCAGACCGGTGGGGAAGACATGTGGCAAGGGGGCCGCTCAGGGCATACATGCCATAGCTGCTTCCTCCACCCTCCCTGAGGCTCCCGGACACATCAAACATGCAGCTCTCAGTTCTGTCACACCCAGGACATGAGGAACAATTTCAATGTAGTTGGTTGATTTGGAGCAATTCATTTTTTCAAAGCAGCTGTGGGTTAGGGAAGGGCTCGCGAAGACAATGGAAGTCATTTTCTTCCAAAGCCAAGCCAACTAGGAAGGAAACCAGCTTTCAGGTAGAAATCCCTGCCTCAGTCAAGGGAAGAAGTGAGGCAGCTATACTACTCCAGGGAAAAGACTGGAACTTCATTCGGCATGGTGAGTTTGAAGGGGAGAGAATAAAGTGGAAACCAAGGCAAGAGTTTTCTCAGTGATCACTTAAGGAAAGCTGAAGGGGGCTCAGGACAGGATGTTAAAATGAGACTATTTTAGTTTCAGTTTTGGCTGAGGCTGCAAAATAAGACACCCCATACCAGAGTGAAGTGTGCAGATCTTGCAAAAAAGAGATGCTGGAAAGCTAGGTTTACACCTATAGATGACCACCACGTCCAGCCTGCAAGAGAAATTGTAGAAGCTGAGAAACAGGCTGCCTAGAAGATGAATTATGGAGACAGCTGTCCAGTGTGTTCCCAAGGGCGTCCATGTGGCCATGTGAATAGCTTGATATTGGTCCCTGGAGCTTGAGAGACACAATGGATTATTGTTTGATTCCTGTGAGAAATCTAAAATTCTGGCTGCTCTGATGGCAGAACCAAGGGAAGTGCCTGCAGGGATTGGCCTGCGCGCCCGGTTCGTTTAGGTAAAGGATGTGTGAGTGTTTCTCAGAGACCAGATGCAGGCCGTCAGAAGAGAGAGCTGAAGTGGGATCATCTTAGTTCCTTCTCAGAGGACTGTCTGGAGGCACAAAGGGGCCTCAGCAGAAAGAAGCTAGAGATTTACCCAAAGACGCCTTGAGGCTGTGGAAGGAATCCTAAGTGACCAGCCAGAGAAGAGTTACATTTGTCCGTGTCAACAAAAGTGCACATGAAAGATGGTAGAACACGAAAGGACCCATGTAAGAGCCCACAGGATGAAGAACCAGCTTTAAACACCTGCCAGAACCAGGGAGCATGATGCCAACTCACAGCAGGATTAGTCAAATAAAAATCCTCCTAACTCTGACCTCTCCTCCTTTCCCGACTCTGATCGTGAAGGATTCTAAATCATTCTTAGCTAGGTATGAGAGGGGACAAAAACACAAGGCTGGGTGGGGGTAGGGGTGGAGAGAAGCCGGTCATGCTCTCCTTTACTGCTGCAGGCAACTGGCCTGAGGTAAGTCTGAGCTGGGAATGGGGAGTAGTTATACCATTTTTTTTTCCTGAGGAAGATTAACCCTGAGCTAACATCTTGTGCCAATCTTCCTCTATTTTGTATGTAGGAGGCTGCCACAGCATGGCTTGGCAAGTGGTGTGATGTTGGCGCCTGGGATCCGAACCTGAGAACCCTGGGCCACTGAAGCAGAACACACAAACTTAACCACTACGCCACTGGGCTGGCCCCAGGGAGTAGTCATTCCTTTGAGTGTAATTTAAGGTTTGATTATCACTGATCTGGACATATGAATTATTGACTAGAGAATGTTTTGTTACCTGAAAGGAGCCAGAAAAGTCACAAGATTTGTCCTAAATTTCATCCATGGACAAGGAAGAAGTGGTCACAAAGGCTGCATTTAAAGGAAAATGGGAGACATGAATTATGTGGCTTTATGATTATGTCCCATGGGTCACGCTTGTTCAATGGAACAATGATTCAAGGGTTTGCCAAGCGAAATCAGACCATTCTGCTATTCTCGTTGCAAGATTCACTAGAAGATACCTTAGCTTTAGAACACGTCTCTGAGTCAACTGCGGTTTACAGGAGAGACCAGATTCACAGACTGTCAGACAAGAAGGAGCATTATACAGGAGCAACTCCAACCCCTCATTTAGGAAACTGAGGTCTGGAAAGATGAGAAAACTTTCCCAAACTCACATATATAGAGACATCAAAAAAAGCACAGAGGTATACAGCATCTGCTCACACAGACCGTATTTAATTTGGCACCTTGCTTTGTAAAGGCCAAATTCCTTCCTGTTTCCCAGGACTCAGAGAGGTTAAAGAAAAATTGCAGACAAGATTATTGACAGTATCGGAGAAAATCTACGCTAAGAATCTAAGTTTATCCTGCCCTGCTGTCTTCCTGAGCTTAAGACATAGCCGCTCTAATTATACGTGTCCTTGTGTTGAACGCTCTGAGCCTGTCCGTGAGCACACACCTGCAAACAGATCAGTTTCTCATTATTTGTAATGGTCACTCAGCACCTCCAGAACTTTCCTAAGCTCGGGTATTTGTCTTATTCCAAGACAGAGTCTCACACAGTGCTTGGAACAGAAGAGCGTCCATCAAATGTGTGCAGAATGATGTAATTTCTAGATTCCAGTTTCACTATCTGCGTGTTCTTTATATGTCAACAACACTGCTTCTGGAGAAAGCAAACAGGCAACAGTTATGCTCATCCTTAGGAATCTGGAATCCAGAACCTGGAGTCAAGTTCAACTCTTTGCAAATCCGTAACTCAGGGCTGCCAAGTGGGGAAGGAGCACCTCCTGCTGGCGTCTAGCCCCTTGGGCAGACAAGGTTGCAACAAGTTTGCCCATGTGGCCTTGCTGCCCTTCCTGCCAGCCACTTTCCTATGCTGAGCTGTTCCGGGGCTGTTGGGACAAAAGGCGCTCAGCCCCTGGCTCACTTTCCAAGCTGTGATGAGAGAGAAACGATAACTCCTACTGGAAGACGTATTTGAGTCATGGCCCGGTCAAATTCCTGCCATAATAGACACCTTTTATGAACATGATAGGCACCTGAGGCCTCCAGGCAGGACCAGCATAATTGGTTCCTTAGCCCTAGTTTTTCTAGGATTTCTTAGTTCCTTAGTTTCATAGTCCGTCAACTACTCAACAATGATGAATAAGTGCCCAAAAGTCTTAATTAGAGGAGAGTGAGGAAAATCTCTCATTTATACGTGATGTGGTCTCAGTGTCTAAATTCTAATAACACAGGCCTGAAAGCTGTAATGTCGGCTCTCAGTAGCTGGAGCAAGCTCTTCCCACCACAGCCCGGGTGGGTCTAGGTATCCTTGGTCTTGGCGAGCCCTGACTGCTCCCCGGGCACCCAGAGAGGCAGGCCAAGGGCCTCCAGCAGCTGAGCTCCCAGGAACTGTGGTGGCTCCCTCAGCAGCAGCTTCACCTGCCCGGGGAGGGCAGGGACACCTGGGACCACCTGCAGGCGTGGGAAGACAGACAGACAAACCCTACCTGGCTCCATCCTGCCTTCCTTGGTCTCCTGGGCTTCCTCGGAGGCACTGGAGCCCCTGGGGAAGGGCTGGTGGCTGAAGAGGTCATCACACAGAAGGCTTCGGCACAGCTTGGTGAGGAAGCGGAGGACATACCCGATGCTATTCACCACGGGCAGACTCCGCAGGTGCTGTTTCCCATCAAAGGATGCCGAGACTGGAAAACCACAGACAGCAACTCAGAGCAGGGCACTGGAGAGAGCCACAGTCCGTCAGCCCCAGGAAGGAGGTTTCTGTTTGTTCACCTTTGTTTTGTTTTTCCCTAGGCTTTATTTGGATCTCACCTATTTTTTCACTAATGTCCTGTTTCTGTTCCAGTATCTCCTCTCAGAGACTGCATTGGCTTTAGCTGTCATGTCTCCTTAGTCTCCTCTGGGTTGTGACTGTTTCTTAGTCTTTCCTTGTTTTTCATGACCTTGACAGTTTTGAAGAGTACTTGTCAGGAATTTTGAAAAACGTCCCTCACTTTGGGTTTGTCTGATTTTTTTCTCATGCTTTGACAGGGATTCTAGGTTTTTTGGGAGGCAGACCACAGAGGTGAAGTGCCCTTCTCATCGTATCACATAACAGGTACATGATATCCATGTGACATCACTGGAAGATCTTTGGCCAAGATTGCGTTTGCTACATTTCTCCTCTGATTTCTCCATATTCTACTCCCTGGAAATAAATCACAAGGTACGGTCCACGCTCGAGGACAGTGGAGGGATTAAGCTTCACCTCCTGGAGATGGGAGAGTCTATATCATTTGGAATTCTTCTACGAGGAAGAACGGCCCATTCTCCTCCGTTTCTTTCTTCCTTTCTTTGATCATTTATTGATATCAGTACAGACTCAATATGTTTTTTTTGTACTGTGGGGTATCCAATAAGATCTTACTTATTTTGTTGCTCAAATTTTTCCAGCTTTTGCCTTTGGGGGCTTTCAGGTTGACTCCTGTGTCCCTATGACATGCCCCCAATTTTTTTCTTTTTAGCAACTCTTTGGTTACCGACACTTTAAGATACTCCAGCTTCATCTTGTATTTTCCTTGCCCCATCTCCAAAATCAGCCATTTGCCCAACAGCCCTGGTTCCTTTTATTGAAGAGTGATATTAAGAAACCAAGATTTGGGCACTGGATGTGCTCATTGCTACTGGGGTGTCAGTAGTTCTGGGCCCTTTCAGTGGAGAGAGCTAAGAAATGTATGTATGTATACTATCTCATTATAATTATTTCTCTATCTAGATCGATCTCTTTAAAATTAGATAGATCGATCTAGATCTATAGATATATTCAAATAAATCTGATTGTGTTCCGAGTTCTCCAACTCTAACCCAGCCTCACAGAGTCCAGGGTTCATTCTAGCTTTCTGAGGAAGAGTCTTTATAGAAGAACAAAAATATCTCCACAGTGATGCTGTCAAACTCGATTTCTATAGGGTGACCCGAATTTAGAAGAAACACCAGTTTCTTCCAGCATGTTCCCTTCTATAATCCTCCTCACAGCCCTCTCTCGGCCCCTGAAGCTTACACACCTGCTCCGGTGTGAAGAACACACGAGGAGATCCCAAACAGGACATTCTGCTCCCACCTAGGCCTCTGCCTCATGGCGGCCACACCCAGGCGGCAGATGGTTTTTTTTACACTGTATCTCCCAAAGGCTAGCACATGGCAGGGGCTGGGGCAGGGGTGACCAGAGCTAGTTTTGATTTCAGAACTAAAAAAAGACAACACCCATTTGAATTAGGAATTGAAAGAATCCACTTTTGCGTAGCTCTTTAGAGTTTGGCAAGAGCTTTCCTAGCTATCCCCTCATTTAGGCCTCATGACCATTCTGCGAGGACAGTAGGCAAACAGTTACAACCCCATATGACAGATGAGGAAACTAAGAAGAGGGCCTGGAGTGGTTTCTCCAGCTCATATGGCCTCTCTGTGGCACTTGCCCGTTGTTTTAATACTCCAAGTGACTCTGATTGGGAGAGTCAGCAAAGAGCTGCCGAGATGCTCACTAAATGGGTCCCTTTGGCCACTCAGACACTCTGGAAATTCCCTCTTAGTGTGGGCCCTGCTGCTTGCCTCCAATACCTTAAAAACTAGGTGTGATGGAGACTGAACCCACAGCAGGAGGGTCTGGGGCATCAGGCGTCCCATAAATCATTGTGCACACATTCCAGGAGGTGCCCGGAGGATGACAGAAGTGGGAAAAGTCCACTTCCTGAAGGCAGACATGGAGTTTGCGAGATCATAAAGTCCACCCCTCTGGGAGGGTGTGGCTGAGGCCAGGCACCCCAACAGATGTGCTGGGAATGGGTTCTGGGGTGCTGTGGTACTGTTTCCCTCAGCCCTTGGGGTGGCCCAAGGCCCAGCCATGGCAGTTTGGTTCCTCTAGCCAGTGGTGCCAGCACCAACGTCATCGTTTGCTATGCCCTGTGCCTTGGGAATGTATGGAAAGCGGTGCCCTAAGATCAGGTTCCAGGTGGAGAGTGGGAGAGTCTGCTTCTCCTCGAGTCCCTCCCTAAACACCTTGCTACCACCACAGCCTTGCTGAGCTTCCGTATCAGTGTTAGCAACATGGAAGCCACATTGCCACCTTGCAACCTCAAGGAGGCACGAGGAGTCCCCTCAGTGCCACTGCATTCTCCAAGACAGTGAGGCCAAGCGCTCAGCTCTGGCCTTCCTGGGAATCCCTCAGCCAAGGGAAACTTGGCAGGGCCCCGCCCAGTCTTGTGTTGGTGCCAAGCACTGCAGAACGTCCTCCCCAGGGCTGAGGCCCCTGAGGTCACAGAAGGGCTGAGCAAGAGAGCAGGGAAAATGGGGTCAGCTCTCCCTGCTTAGGGGGCAGGGCCATAAAGCATTCAGTTAGATGGGATTCGCTCAAGAGAGTGGGCACACATTGCAGGAGGGGCTTTCTCTTATTGCCAGGTCTGTGTCTTGAGCCGTGTTATTTAGCAAGGAGAAGGAGAAGGTCTTTACCTCTGAGGGTAGCCCAGGACGGAGAACAAGGTTTCAGACAGAAAACAGGAGAAGAATGGCCACGGGGCTCTCAGAGGGCCGGAAACAGGACTCTCCTCCTGGCCTCTCTTGATGCATCGCTTCTTCCTCCTGTCTCTGTTCGCATCTGCTAAAGTCTCTTCAAAGTCACCCTGGGTCAGACATATGCCCCTTGGCCTTGCCAAGTTCTATTTTAATCAGTTACCAGCAAGTCAGACCCAGCTTCACGCTCACAGGGAGCTCCAGAAGGTGGGCTGAATCAATCAGAGCTGGGGAAGCCGTGTTGGATAACCTCCCCACCCCTAAGCCCTGGGCATCCGGAGTGAAATAAAATGCCCCTGCTTTAGCTCTTCAGGACACAGCTGCATTAGAGGCACCTCTCCTCTGAGGTTCTCATAGCCGGCCAGCAGGGGCACCAGTGCTGCACCGCCCCAGGGCTGGGGAAACTTCTCCCATGCCCATGTCCATGATGCTGCACCAGAGAAGACACCAGGCGGTCCCTTTGAGTCATGACATCTTGCAAAGGCCCGGTGCTCCAGGGCTTAAGGGCAGGTGGTGACCCCCATTGTGTAGAGAGTCTGGGGTATCACAGAACGAGCCTCTGCAGGCAAACACTTGAAAAGGACAGAGCTCCCGGCTCTGCCTTTCACTTGTGCTGACAACTTCCACTCCCTCTGGAAGCTGTTGGGTTGGGGCTGAAACTGGAGGAGGGCAGTGACGATGGGAGAAGAGATTAACCCTGAAGCCTCTTGTGAGACGCGGTTGGGCCCATGAGCTCTCCCCACTGCCCTGCATGGTGATAAGTGCTGTGAAAAAGGAATGAAGCAGAGTGAGGGAGAACAGATAGTGACTAGGGCTGATATTCAGACCCCGTGGCCAGGAAAGGACTCTCCGATAATGTGGCATTTGAGTAGAAAGCTGAAGGAAGTCCAAGAGCAAGTCACATGGACAGCTGGGGGAAGATCATTCCAGAAAGGGAGAACAGCACGTGCAAAGGCCCTCAGGCAGGAGTGTGGCTGGAGGATACAGGAAAAGCAAGGAGGCCAGCACGGCCAGAGCAGAGCGGGGAACTCCAGAGAAGGGGCCAGGAGATCAAAGAGGTAGCCAGAGCCAGGTCACATGGGGCCTGTGGGCTCTTGTAAACATGTGGGCTTTTTCTCAGAGCGACATGGGAGCCACTGAGAGTTTAGGGCAGAGAAGGAGCATGATCTGACTTAGATTTTTAAAAAACCAGAGTGGCTGCTGGGTGGTGAGAGGTGGCTAGATTCTGGATGTATTTTGAAGTTAGAGCAGTAGGATTTACTGATGGGTTGGAGGTCGGACGTGGGAGAAAGAGAAGAGTTAAGAGTAAGGATTCAGAGGTCCAGTCTTCTTGTCCAGGTCTGGGAGAATCTTCTCCTCGAGCCCTGAGAGAGGCCTTCAGCACACAGGCTTATTTAAGGCCCCTGGAGCCCAGCAGCTGGAGGATGGACCCTGGCCACACCACTGTCCCCCAAGCCTGAAGATGGCACTTTCCTCTTCAGCATCAAATGATTTGGTTATGTCAGTTATGAAGATTGTACTTTTCCAATTTTAATCCATTAATATTAAAACCTATATTATTGCTTTTTAAAACATTAATAAAAACTTGTACTGTGAGATGATCTTAAACTCATAATTCATAAGGAAGATTTGCCTATAGTTTTCTTTTATTTTTTATGTCAGGCATTGAGGTGTAATTTATAAACAATAAAATTTACTCTTTATGGGGTGTTGGGTTTATGAGTTTTGACAAATGTACACAGTCACGAAACCACAATCAAAATACAGAAACCACAGCCCTCCTCGTACAACCCGCCCCAGGGCCTTACCTGACACCATCTCACCACCATAGCCCTGCTTGACCAGGGAGAAGACCAGCTTCTGCTGGTGGGCGCAGTCGATGCACGCTTGCACGGCCTGCTGCAGGACTGCCGATGGCCTCTCGGGCCCGAAGTGCTCAGGGAGCTGCTGCACCTTCCTCCTCTCCAGGTACGGCCCTGCGTCGGCTTGCTTGTTGATGTAGAGGCAGACTGTGGAAGCAGAAACCCACAGAGCCCTCAGTATCGGGCACCCATCAGGCCAGGGGGCTGCTCCTGTGTGCACGGGGGATGCCTCAGCCACGCCCCCTCGACCCCGGCCTTGGAAAGCTAAAAAGGCCACAAATGGGACCAATTCTTCCTAATTTAGGAAGTAAAAGAGGCCAAAGAGCCAATTACCTCGAACTGCCAGGGCTTGCTCTCAAGAGAGGCTCCCGGTCAGGAACAGATGGACAAGAGGGTCCTCTCTGATCCTCAAATCTGAATCGTAGACATTATGGAGGCCCATGTGGGCCATGTGTATAAATGTATGTCCATGCTGGGCATGCACACATACAAAATCCTCCCTCCTCCTTCAAAGGAGCTATCGAGCTACACAAAATATTGTCTATCTTGATCACACATTGTGTATCTCGATCAGACGATGCTGATTACTCCAAGGAGTATATATTCAATGAAATTCTGAAAACAGCGCTATTTACAATCTCAGAGATAACAAGCACTCAGCTGCCCATTTAGTTGAGCCCAACCAATGGTCCCCACACTTTCAAAGTAATATCCCCCATCGGTAAAACATTTTTGAGCACGCACCCCAAAATGTGTTTATTTATAGGTTATATGCATTCTTAACTATATTAATGTATTGCATACATTTTAAAATGTAACCAAAAAATATAAAGTTTTAAAGGATAAGATAAAAATAAATATCAGTGGTAGGTGATGTTTTCTTCTGTACACTAACGGTTGCTCTTATGTCTTCCCCACCCCCACCCGGGGTATGAGCATCTTACCTTGGGGGCCACTAGTCCGAAGGAGTGTTGAAGAGGGACTGTAAGAGGAGACCAATAGCACTTTGGAAGGATTAAATAGTAATGGCAAAGGTGAAGAAAATTAGTTTTTATTGAGCATCTACTACATTCCAGGCACTTTATGTACTTTATCTTGTTCGATTCTCAAGACAAGCCTGGGAATTATTACTTCCTTTACTAATGAAGAAACCGAGGCTTAAAGTGGTTAGATGGATGCTCATAAAGTCTGTAATTAGTGATGCAACAGTGATTTGGACTCAAGTCTTTCTGATGTCAAGGCCTGTGCTCTTTTCACTCATGCCAGACAACTGAGGAAAATCTAATTAATAAGGGACCTTCACGCCAGGCACTGTGCTGGCCTACAGAGAAAATGGCGAACCAAATCTACATGGTCTCTGGCTTCTCAGAGCTTAGGGCCCTGGAGGGGAGGCAGACACACTCAGAGAATCACAGGAAGTGATACGGGACCGTGGCTGCGAGAAACACTAGGGAGGTGCTGGGAGAGCCCATCTTGGGAACCCTGGCAGGAGAGCCAGTGAAGGTTTTCTGCAGGGAGGGAGGACTGAGCTAAGACACAAGGGAGGATGGGGGTGAGCAGAGGGGTGATCATTCCAGATGGAGGGAAGAGAATGTGCTAAGATCCTGTGGTGGGCCCTAGGGACTGAGAGGAGAGCAGCGAGCTGCAGGGCCTCGTTGGCTGTATTAACAAGTTTGGTCTTTACCTAAGAGCAATGAGAGGGGACTGAAGGGGTTTAAGTGGGACGACAGTAGGGGGTTGTTTGTGATGAAGGAGGACCATGTGCATGTGTGTGTGCGTGCACGTGTGTGCATGTGTGAGAGAGAGAGAGACATCACCCGATTGCTGTTACTCTTATGAGGGAACTGTTGGCTGGTGGACGCCCCATGAGAGGGACTGGGCTGAGCTCGACTCTGACTGGATTGGAGGGCGCCAGGTGGGATTAAGGGAGATTAGGATCCTTAGGAGATCTGGAAGTCAAACACAGTGGTGGAAACTCTTCAAGGTGAGCAGGCTCTCTATTGGTGTAGAGGAAAGCTGGCTCTGACAAGAAAAATCTAGGCTACCAACCACTCTTTCTAGTCCTACCCCAAAGCAACCAGCTGAACCTAAGATGCATTGAAAACCAAGTTTCATATAATCCAAGCTGTGAGACACCTACACTCATGTTCTCAGAGGATTTCGTCATCCTATCCGCTGTCCAGCTAACACACTAAATCCTTCATCTGAGCTATCACAGTGGCAGCTCTTTAGTTCACAAAGTGATGCTAGATGATGGGCAGGCCATCACAGCCCTGGAGTTCATTGCTTGACCTACCTGTAAGAGCCTGTGGGGCCCCCAAGCTGGGTATGGTGGCTGCATCCTGAGGGATGGAGCTGAGGTCGGGCTCCGGCGTACTCCGTGGAGGGGAGAGGGCTAAAGGAGTCATGAGAACCCGAGACTTGAGCTGCAAGAGAGAGCCCATTTGGTCAATGAAAATCTGGAAATGTTCTCTACACCTCCCCATCTTTCCTGCATGTCAGTTAACCACTGCTACTCTATCCTGCTTCCACACCTTTCTATTGGGCAGCTTTGGAGGCTGAACTTCAGATTCAAGTTCATGATCAAGGTTCATGTTTGGGGTCATACTCAGAGGTCAGGTCTGCACCCCACCCTTACAGTGGAGCCACCCAGGAAATGACTGTCAGGCAGTGGGTGTTGGAGCACATAGAGGTGGGAAGAGGTGAAGCCTGCAAGCCCTCAGCGTCAGGATGCAGGATAGGGGTCAATTTCCAGCCTGAGCCCCTGTGCTCCCTAGAATCCTGTGGACAGGGCTTTCCCCACAGCCACCCAGAGTCTGACCCCGAAGCTCTCCTCATTCTCTGAGCTTTCTGCTTGCAAAGATCACTGGATCCTGCTGGAAAAGAGCTCAGGGGCCATTCCTCCAGGGGCTGACATACTGTTTAGTGTTTATTTTCTATGTGGAGATTGTCAAAGGCAGCCTGAGTGTGGACATGATTGTCTGGTAAAAAGAAGCAGCCACCTTGAAGGTCTCACTTGAAATAATTAGTGAGGGGCTGAAAATTGCTGTGATGGAATAAGGTGGAGACAACTGGTTGATGATGTCAACACCAACAAGTCATTCTCCATACCAAGGTTTGACAGACAAGTTTCTAATCTTAGCTCTCCACCCCAAAATAATGAATAAATGAATTACTCCACCTCTTCACCACTGACCTTCGTCTGGACCCCACTCTAGACCAATTAAGCCAATCTCTGGGGGTAGGACCAAGGCATCAGTTTCTAAAGATATTCAGATGATTCCAATACACAGTTGATGTTGAGGACCACTGCTCAACAACAGTGCTTTTCAACTTTAAGTTGCAATCAATCACCCTGGGCGTCTCATTAAAATGCAAATTCTGATCTGGGGGTCTGGGATGGGGCCTGAGATTCTGCATTTATAGCAAGCTCCCAGGTGGTACTGATGCTGCTGGTCCATGGACCACACTTTGAGTAGCAAGGATGTCGGTTCTGTTGTTAATATACTTGCAGTCCCCATCCATATCCTAACTTGCTTTCACGGTTTTCAGGATAGAATAATAACAATAGTCACAGAGAAGTAGTATTCCTACTGCTGGTTATCCAAACATTCTACATTCATTCATTCATTCATTCAACAAATATGTATTGAGAGCCCATTGCAGGGCAGACACCCTTCTAGCTGCTGGGATACAACAGGGAACAAAGCAGACAAACATCTTTGGCCTCGTGGAACTGACATTCTATTGGGTGGAAGCATACAATAAACAGAATAAATAAGTAAATGATGTAGAATGTTATAAGGTGATAAGAGAGCTGAGGGTGAAAATAGAGAAAGGGCAAGGGAAGCACAATTGAGGAGTTGTACTTTAGGTTGAAATTTTAAAATAGGATGGTTAGGGCATTTCTTGGGTGACATTGCACAAAGATTTGAAGGAGGTGTGAGAGCAAGTCATACCAGTGTCTATGGAAGAATATTCCAGTGAATGAGAATATCAAGTGCAAAGGTCCTGCGGCAGGAGCATGCCTGGAGTGTTTGTGCAACCGTCGGGAGCCCAGACTGAGACTGGAGAAGTAATAAAGCCACAGGGCTTTGCAGGACACTGTAAGTTCTTGACTTTTACTCTGAGCTCTTTTGACCAGAGAAATTACAGGATATGACTGATATTTTAAGAATCTTTCTGTTGGGAAACATTCTTAACTGTTGTGTTGAGAAGAGTTAGAAGGAGCAGAAGTGGGAGAAACACTAATCTAGAGGAGATAAGAGATGATGCTAGGTTGGATCATGGTGATAGAGTGGAGGTGATGAGAAGCAGACCGGTTATGGACAGATCTTGAAGGTGAAACCTGCAGGACTTACTGACACACTGGATGTGATGGGTGAGAGAAAGAAAGAAGTCAAAGATGACTCCAAGGGTTTGGGCTAGGAAGGCTGCAAGTGGATAAGGCTTTTTTGAGGAGGCAGTGAAGAGGGGTAGGGAAGACGAGGGGTTAGTTTGGGACATGTCAAGTTTAAGATGCCTATTAGACATCCAAGTGGAGATGTTAAGTAGGCAGGTGCATATAGTAGAGTATGGAGTTCTGGGGTAAAGTGTAAATGGAGATATAAATTTGGGAATCATCAATATAGAGTTGATATTTAAGGCCATGATAATGGATGTGATCATCAGAGAAATGAGTGTAGATGGAGAAGAAAAGGATCCAAGCACTGAGCCTGTCAAGACTCCAATTGAAGAGACTGGAGAGATGAGGAGGAACCAGCAGAAGAAACCAGGAAAGAACATCCAGTGAGGTAGAAAGAAAACCGGGAGAGTGTGGCATCGCGGGAGCCAAAGGGAGAAAGAGTTTCAAGGAGGAGAGAGTGATCGGCCATGTCAAATGCTCTGCTCAGACAAGTAAGACTAGAAGCGGCCATTATATTTAGTCTCCTTTCAACAAGAGAGGTTGAGGTACAGTGGGTGGGGTGGGAACCTGGTTGGAATAAACTAAAGAAACAATAGGAAGAGAGGCATTGGGATCAGGAGGTAAAGTCAACTCTTTCAAGGAGTTTTGTCATAAAGGGGAGCAGAGAATTAGCCATAGCAAGAGGCAAAAGTAAGATCAAAAGATTTTTGCCCCACAATGAGATATCATCTCACATCCATTAAGATGGCTACTATCAAAAAAACAAAAAGAAAGAAAGAAAGTAACAAATGTTGGTGAGGGTGTGGAGAAATTGGAATGCTTGCGCACTGTTATGGGAATACAAAATGGTGCAGCCGTTATGGAAAACAGTACGGAGGTTCCTCAAAAGACTAAAAATACAATTACCCTGCAATTCTACTTCTGGGTATATATCCAAAAGAATTGAAAGCAGGGTCTCCAAGGGATATTTGTATCCTCGTGTTCATGCAGCATTATGCACAATAGTCATTGTGGAAACAACCACAAATGTCCATCAAAAGATGAATAGATAAACAAAATGTGGTATATCCATACAAGGAAATATTATTCAGCCTTAAAATAAAGAAGAAAATTCTGAGACATGCTACAACATAGATGAAACTTAAGGACATTTTGCTAAGTGAAATAAGCCAGTCACAAGCAAATACTGTTTGATCCCATGTAGATAAATTCATAGAAACAGTAGAGGGGTGGTTGCCAGAGGTTGGAAGAAGGGGAGAGTGGGTAGTTGTAGTTTAACAGGTATAGAGTTCTGGTTTTGCAAGGTGAAAAAGTTCTGGAGATCGGATGAACAATAAGGTGACTATACTTAACACTGCTGAACTGCATACCTAGAAATGGTGGACAGTAAATTTTATGCTATGTCTTTTTTTTTTTTACCACAATTAAACATTTGAAAAAATTTTAAAGATTTTTTTTGTTTTTTGTTTTTTTTTAAGATGGGAGAAATAAGTGTTTTAATGCTGATGGAAATAATCCAGTAGAGAGGGGGAAGTTGGTGATACAGGAGAGTGCGTGGAGAACTGCTGGCATCAGCACTTTGAGTAGGTAAGAGGGGATGAGATTTAGTGAATAAGGAGGCTAGAGCCTTAGAGAGACATGCAGATCTTTCATCTACTGCAATAGGAAGGAAGGCGAAATATGAGTCTGGATGCTGGGAGGAGTGGATGTGGGGTGGCAGCCTGCAGAAGGTCTCTTCTGATGGTGTCTACTATCTAGTGATGCAGGAAGCTGAGTGTGAGGATGCAGGAAGCTGAGTGTGAGGATGAACTGGGAGGGTGGCAGAAGTCAGGGAATGGAGTGTGGCTGCTGAGCAGCATTGAAAGCGCAGTGAGATGAGTGGAAGTGAATTTAAAACGAGACCAGTGAAAAGTGAGCACCTTGGCTGCACAGGGATTTATGGGTGCACAATCTGGGGCTCTTGAGAGAGACCTTCTATCAATCAGAAGCTACAGTTAGTAATAGAGACTTCATCTTATTCTGAGTTTAGCATTTGAAAAATTAAAGGGTCCTTCATATATCAATACACGGCTAAATATTACAAAAATAATTTAAAATAAACCTCAGTGGTGGGAAGGAGTGGATCAGAAACCTGCTGTGACTCAGACACCGTGACTTTGGTGTGGTTTCCTCATCTGTCAAGTGTGACGAGGGCACTGCCCTGCCTGTTCTCCCAGGTCATGTACCAAGTGTCCCCCTGATGGTCTCCCTAGGAATGATATTCTGCTTTTCATGGCTTGTGAGGGAGAGGCTGGTCGTGACAGTCCCCAAGGACTGTGGCTATCGGGCTGTGGGCGAGTCTTGGCAAAATCCTCCTTTACAGGCTTAAAGCAGTCTGACTCCCAACATGCAGATAACAATGTTGGTGAGGAAAAAACCAGATATGTCAAAGTGTCATTTTTTTACCCTGTAGTCTTTAAGTAAATCCCACAAAGATCCTCATGGTCCTTCCCTGGAAAGATGATGATGATGATAGTGGTGGCAGCTGGGACTTATAGTCAGGCACTGCTACTGTTCGCGTAAACTTCATAATGACGTGAACCTCTAATGCTTGCTCACTATTTTAATTTTTATTAGAGGGAGCTCTGTCCATTCAGCCCACCTCCAATGAAGTCATATAATTACAATTGCCTGTTACATCCGCCCATCATTTCTGCCCAGGTGAAGCACTGAAAGGGATTAGAACAAGTCAGCTGGCTGCAGGGAAAAGCTTCTGCATCTATCCAACCTCTGAAACTGCTGGGACTTTCAAACAAAGAAGAAATCTCATGCAGTTGTGGGTGGTACATGACGTTTTAAAAATATCCTTTCGGTAAAACAATAAATCATCAGTAGGAGAACCCTTTGACTCAGCATTCTGAAACTTCTACCTCATTGCTCAATATAAACAATAAAAAATAACCTATCCTAGGGGGCGAGCCTGATGGCGTAGTGGTTAAGTTCACACACTCTTCTTTGGCAGCCCGGAGTTGGCAGGTTTGG